CGCGTCAGATTGTTTGTAGTGAGAAACATGTGCTGAGACCGTTGATCCCACTCTCTCTCTCTCCCTCTCTCTTCCCACTCTCGGGCACCAGTCCGCTGTCCGAGTCGGTCTGCCGCTGGCGGTAGTAGGCGCAGCGGTTGATAGGGACAGAGTACCCGACTGCGCGTGCCTCATACACAGTCTGGCCCCCAGATTCACACTAGGATTACACACGAATTAATACAGTGCGCTACAAGCCATGAAGGCTTTGAAGGATGTCGACCAATGACATAACTCGATCCTCTTCTGAGGTCGGAGGATCAGGCCACAATGGCTTCCTATTGGTGTGGCCCTTATGTCATTCTCATTCAGTTGGGATCCGAGCCGCCTCGCCCCACTTTCTTGTTGTTGTATGAGGCGGATCAGGGTACGTGGTGGTACGCCTAGGTACGGGTTTTCACCATGCCAGCCACCTGCGCCCTCTCCCATCTCTGGTCTTCTCGGCTCTGTCGTGACACCGGGCCCAGGTGGGGAGGAGGAGAAGAGGATGCGGTAGATGCGGCGTCAGTCCACCGCCAGTATAAACTAATTAACGAGCATGTCACCGTGCCTGCTCCCAACCTATTATGGTGCACAAGGAGGGGAAGCGTCGGAAACGATGACCGAACTGTCGGAGAGAGGCCACGGATTCGACTTCGCGAGCACGCAGGTGGAGCGGAATCTGACGGAGACGTGGGTGTCTGACACCAACTCCGTCAACAGACAAGCGCTCAACCCATACGGCCAGGTGGCGCGACCCACTTCCCGGCCAAGGACGCACATCATTGACGGGCCGTGCGACCGCTGCGAGTTAGGCAGTGTGAACCCGGCCCAGATATTGCCACTGCCCATCCCCCCCTTCCCCATTCCCTCATCGTTTGAGTTGTTGCTCTCGCACGGACCCTGGTGATGGGCTTCTGTGCGAGTCTGAAGGCTCAGGCCTACGCACCTACTGTTCCAGTGACCGTGCCTTCATCTTCCTTGCAACAAGAGCCTGGGACTCGCATATCCGCCCGTATTCATCGCAGATAAATGCTAAGATATGTGCAAAGAGCTGAGTTCAGTTTTAGAGCACCTCACTAATTCTTCCCCATCACAGTTTTTTTCAGCTGTCAGATTCATTGTTCGGTTGTATCAAAAAAATAATCAGCCACTTCCAGAATTCTCATTAGCAAGCTCTCCAGCACGCCTGGGCTCAGCATTACAAGACCTAGGCTGAGGAGAGAGTGTCAAGTCTGGCGTGTACCATTTTGAAAGGACACTGAGGCATCAGCAGAAGATGCTATGTTCGAAGAAACTCCCCGGCCAAAGTTTTGCTTTTTACTTTAATCGCTCCCGTACTTTCGGTCATCTGTGCCCTCCAAACCTGGCTGTCTGCACTTTCAAAAGCAAGTGCCGGGCCCTGCGTATCAGATAATGACAAATTTGTGGGTAAATCTGGGAGTTCAAAGTGAACTATCTCCTCATTTTTAGCTTATAGGCTGGTCCCCCTTTCTTCTTTTTCTATACATGTGAGTGAAATAGCTTCTAACGATTCTTTGATCGGTGGGTGAGTAAATCTGGGAGTTCAGACTGAACTGTCTCCTCATCTGTAGCTTATAGACAGATCCCCCCTTCTTTTTCTATACATGTGAGTGAAATAGCTTCTACCGACTCTTTGATTGGTGAGGATATTTTGTTGAACTTTTTGTCCGTTTTATTTTTGTATACGCAATTGCGACGGCAGCGGATGGTATCGGCGTCATTGCTCTCTTGCTTGAATGAGCACAAACGAAGTTTCAGAACTGACTTCCAGGCAATGGAATTTGGAGTCAGATAATTTCACTTGACGCGGTCAAGCTACCGACTTCCTCAAGTCCTTTTTTACACCTGTTCTACTTTTAATTGTACGCCTACCACCCCTCGGCGTTCAGAAGGTCATTAAGCAATGTGAACGGTGGGACGGGGCTGCAATAACCGAGGCCACAAACAACTGCTGTGACCGTAAGATCGATCGATCGCACTGTCAGTGAAACTCCACAGGCCAGACGTGGTCGCATGTTTTGGTTTTGCACGCCAAAACCGTACTTGTACTCCACACGCAACACGCCATTGCGCTCCAAAGTCCATATTTTCATTTGCTGCGTACGTCCCCCGCATTACTGGGTCTCGTCAGTGCACACAAATGCCAGTACTTTCTGTTACAGGAACGCAGGGATTGCAGGTAGTTGTAAAAGCGTCCAAACGCACACAGAATCGTTACAACAGGTGTCGTGTCAAAAAGATGCCTGCAAAATTATCATGTCGGTTGTACTCTTGCCCTGACACCCGCCGTATTTGATCGATTGCAACGACTCGACCGTCGTGTCCGAGGGTGTTCACCGTGTGCTCCACAGCAAGGTGAAGTGCTCACAGTGACTTGCGCTTGAATTAGATTACAGTGAGGGGATATTTGTGCAGCATCGACTGTGGTGACGACTTATGTGAAAAGGATAGACAAGAAATTTTCACCGGGTCAGTAAACAGTGGTTCTGAGGTTCGAAAGTACACGCAGCTGCCGTAAGATGAGAACTGGATATTAGAACGGAAACGGAGTATGACAAAAGGTTTTTAAGTAAAGTCTTCACGTGTTAAGTTTAGCATGAGTTTTCTTTAAAGTCTGGCCACGCTGTTGTCCCTTAGTGTTTGTGACGAGGTATCACAGTAGTTCACCTCTGATAATCTAGTCCCGTTTTCTTTTACCGAATTGCTTGTTTTAATGTGACAGGAACAATTCAGCTGGACAAACCTCGCTTCGCTGGCCTGATCAGCTGTCGTGCTCTGTTGGCAGGTCATTTTACGTTCCGAATATCAATATTGTTCACTAACCGGTTCTTATTACTGCTCTTAATGCCTAGGGCTCGTGAGGTATCATTCGTTAGTCCTTGAGACCATTATCATTTACGTCATTGGTGACTTCCGCCGTTAACGCAGACTCTTAACCTTTCTCTGTCATATTGAATGGCATTTAACGCACAGTTTATTTGTGCACTTTTATGCCACTTACACCTACTTTGCTCGTGAATATTATCGACGTTGGGCCATCTCTATCTTGATTATTATGTTTCTCTC